GACTGAGACAGTGTTTGCTGAGGTACAGCATCCTGAGACAGGACACCCTGATCTACAGCAGAGCAAGACACAGCATACTGACCTAAGCCAGCCTGGGATCCTGCATCTTGACACACAACACCTAGACATACAAAATACTGAGACCCTGCGTCCTGGGACACAGCGCCCTGATATCGAGAAGACTGAGGAACTGCCTGCTGATCTACAGCAGAGTGAGACCCAGTCTGTTAATCTACAGCAGAGTGAGACAGTGCATCATGAGACACTGTACCCTGATGAAGAAAAGACAAAGACCCTTCGTCCTGGGACACAGCACCCTGATATAGAGGAGACTGAGACACTGTCTGTTGATCTACAGCAGCCTATGACCCTGCATACTGATGTACAGCAGTCTGGGATACTACATCCTGTGACACAGTATTCTGAGACAGTTTTTGCTGACCTAAAGCATCTGGACACACTGGACCCTAATTTACTCCAGACCAAGACACTTCATCTTGAGAAACAGCAGACTGAGACACTACATCTTGAGAAACAGCAGACTGAGACAGTGTTTGCTGAGATACAGCATCCTGAGACGGCCCACCCTGATGTACCACAGCATGAGACACAGAACCCTGATCTAAAGGAGACTGAGACGCCACACTTAGAGCATCTATTGAAACAGCAACGTCATCTACAGAATATTGAGACCCTGCTCAGTGATTTAGAGAATCCTGAGACACAGCTCCCTGATATACAGAAGACTAAGACCGTGTGTCTTGAGTCACAGCACCCTGAACTACAGAAGACTGAGACACAGCACCCTGGTATAGAGAAGACCAAGGCACTGTTTACTGATCTACAGCAGAGTGAGACACTTCCTGTTGATCTACAGCAGACTGAGACAGTACATTCTGAGACACAGCACTGTGATCTGCGGCAGAGTGAGATAGTTCATTATGAGACACTGCAACGTAATAAACAGCCGACTGAGTCAGTGAAGGCCAAAACGCAGCATCCTGAGTTCCTGTGTACTACTTTACAGCCGTTTGAATCCTTGCTTAGTGATCTACAGCAGACTGGGATGCTGCATACTCAAACACAGCCCCACGATCTACAACAGGCTGAGACACTATGCACTGATGTAAAGGGAAATGAGACAGAGCATCCTTACAAGCAACAACAAGCTGTGACACACCTCCCATATATACAGCAAACTGAGACAATGCATCCTGAGATGCAGCACCCTGGACTACAGCAGACTGAGACTCTGTGTACTAATTTAGATCCTGCTAAGATGATGCATTCTGAGCCACAGCAGCTAAAGAAAACTGACACACTCCATATTAAGCCACTGCATGTTGATCTACAGCAGACAGAGATATTGTCATCTGAGACACAGTGCTCTGAATTACAGATGACAGTAGTACTGTGTTCTGATTTTATGCAAACTGAGACGGTGCAGTCTGAGACACAAAATCCTGATATACAACCGACTAATACATTGCATAACAAAACACTTGATACTGAGACTTTGTGTACTGATCTACAGAAGGCTAAGATACTGCTTCCTAATACACAGCCTACATATGTACAGAAGAGCGAGACATTGTCTACTGAGACACAACATCCAGGTCTGCAGCAGACTGAGATACTTTATACTGAACTTCAACAAACAGAGACACTGCCCACTGGCACCTCTGGGACAGACCAAGTTGAGGAAATGCAGCTACAGCACGATGATGTTCAATACTCTGATACCAAGCACAACAAGGCATTACAATTAATGAACACAGAGATACAGCACTCTGCTGTTCAACACTCCAGAATTCAGCACATTGAGACACGGAGAATTGATGTCTCTGATTTACAGCCTATGGGTAGCACAGAGTTATTGCCTACTGATATCCTTGAAAGTGAGAGACGTATGAAGAAATTCTCAGAAACCCAGCACACATTTACTTACCACAGGAGGAGCAGAGGGACAGTCCAGTCTGTGGAGACAGAGCCCACTGAGGGACAGGACACCAGCGATAAAATCGATGCAGAGGATAATGGCACTACTGAGATGCAGCAAACCACTGAACACATTGATAACCACTGGACTGTTGCGGATCAGAGTGGCATACAGAGAATTGAGACAGACTATCCTGAGACACAGCATACTGGCCCACAACATTCTGAGACCCTATATACAGAGACACAGGAAACTGTGAATTCGAAGACAAAGTTAGCCGAGGCACAACATACTTACACCTCTGGAAAAGTGCAAACAGAGAGCATCAAGACAAAGGTTGCCAGTGTGCCTGGCACTGAGAGGCAATATTCTGAAAGCCAACACAGTAAGATACAACATTCTGAGATATGCAACACTGTCACAGCTGGTAAACTGGACACCGAGACACAGCTCACTGACACTGCCGTATCACTGGAAGCTGTCCGCCCTGAGACACAGGACAGAGAGCGACTGCAACAAGAGCACCAGCACACTGAGGCCCCTGAGTCTGAGCAGGAGGTGATCCTGGAAGTGTTGACCGCTGATGTACAGCAGGTAATAGTGTCTGATTTTTTACTCTGCTCTAACAGTGATCTTCTAACCTTCTAACCTTCTGACAGTGAGACCTCTTTAGAAACACTACTCTGCATTCCAACACTGAGCATTCAGTGACATGTCATAGGACCTCAGGTGAACTGTCCACCTGGCCCACTGGAGAAAGAAATCCCAAAACATACAGAGTTGGTGGTGTAGATGTAGATTGCGAGAACAGAGCACAGGAAAAGCTTCTATCATACAAGCCTGACTAGTTTAAAATGCACAACAGCAACACTTCATGGCACAGTCAGGGTAATTTACTTTATACATGCTGGTTCCCAGTAGGCAAGCTGCCCATTCTGTTATAAATGTAGACAATTTTGCTCACAGGTTAGAGAAAAGATCAGGCCTCTAGTGTTTAATGAAGTCAAATGAAACTAGAATGGAATATGGCAAACAAAAGAGATAAAACCATCCTGGAAATGTTGAAATAACCTCGACAAGGTTGTCTCCAAATTATTTATTATTTATTATTAATTAGTTTTGATTGATCATCATTATATACTAAGAGATTTCTATCATTACATACTAAGAGATTTCCATCATTACATACTAAGAGATTTCGGGGAGATTGGATTTGGAAGCACACCTCTGTAGAACAGGGACTGATCTCATGGGAAAAACTGTATTAACAGCTGACCCTTCGCCATTTCAGAGCCCTGTTGGTTTGGAGAGGCAGGAGGAGCTGGGGGGCGTGAGCTCTGGCACCGTGTGGGTCAAGACTGAGGAGAGGAGGGGAGATGGAGAAAGGGCAGACATCACAGACACACAGCAGGTACGACAGGAGGTCTCCCCAGCACTCTGTCCAGCCTGATGTGATCTTTTTTGCGGTCAGTGCAGGCAATTACCTGTTAGGTAGGCATGCTCAGTCATCTGCTGCCAGACAGGTTTTTACACTTTTTCAAAGAATCGGGACCTGTCCCAGTTTACACTACTGTGATAGTCCTGCAGCTGTAGGAGGAGTATTGCTCCAGGGTCATTTTGGCTTTTGGTAAAGCATTACGTCTCAGATGATGGGGTGCGTATGCGAGCTAAAAAACTGCGATGATGAAAATATGAATATGGCTTGTGCTGTCCTTGAGATATGCTTGTCTGAAGGATTGTGTGTGGGTCAGTCTTATCGTCTGTTTTGCCCTTTCTTTTTTTCTGTTTGGGGGAACTGGAACTGTAATCAGGAGAAACCGGTGTTTGTAACCAGTTCAATATCTGGGTCAGTCAGAACACCACTCTTCCCTCATGCACAAGAAAACCTCTGGAAGCTTTGATGAATATTTGCTAGATGGTACTTTTCTCCAGGGCTTTTCTATGAAGTCCCGTAATGTGAATTCCAGGTGTGAATTCAGGTAAAGACAGATGCAGTAATATAGTCTCAGTTTGTATGGTAGTGTTATTGGCAGATAGGAAAGAGTTGCAACAGAACAATGCATTTTCAGATGAATATTTTCTTTTTACATTTTAAGGATGTCTGAACTGCCATGTGTCAGAAAGATGTATTCAAAGATCATGAATTGCATTTTCATGGCAAATGGTTGAAAAAAGGTGTACCTGTTTATTTGCATTTAATGTTACTGGATATGTGCCAGATTCTATCTTATACATGAGAATATCATTAACTATGGCATGACTCTTCTGTTGTACTGGAGATTGATGTCTTAAACAAAGACCCAAGTGTTTGTTTTGCTGTGTGTTTTGCTGGACAAAATATCACAAATTATCACACTGCCAGTTATGCCTCAATTTCAGCCTCACAATATCGTAGATTGGCTACTTTCCCAAACAAATATCACCCGTGGAAGCATGAACTTTAGGATGAGCAAAGGGCAATTACAGTTTAAGGTTCAAAGTTTAAACACTGCGACTTGAATATCTTTTTTATCACTACTGGGGGATCTCTCCATGCTCTGCTGAGTAACATTTTCAAATTTTAGTTACTGTGCTTGATCAGTACATTTATCTAGTGCATCTTTCAAAGACTACATTGAAAGCTTTTGTAGAGGGTGTAACTGCCTTAATTATATCCAGTTTATACAAAAGCAAAAAATGGTCCAATCGTCTAAAGAATTCTAATTATCAGTGGAATAAAACACATCAGGAGGAGTGAACTGAGGAGAGATGCGAGGAGCAGACTCAGCAGACACCGGGAGTCTGAAGGACACTCGACTGACAGGATTCTCAGATTAGGACTGCAGAGGAAAGGCAGAGAGGACCCTTACAATGAGAATCAGAGTACTACCAGACAGTTGTTCTGCTATCACAGGAGAGGAGTGGGGGAGCAGGCAAGAAGCAGGACAGATAAGAAATCATAGCTGAAGGTGGCAAAGACAGCATGTCGTGTAAATAATTTGTATGTGTCTTGCTTTTTGTTCTTCCTGTTTTTCTGTTTTCCAGGAGCACTGTTGGTTTAAAGATCTTCGACACAGTTAGCTAGAGACTGTGGGTAGTCAGTCAGCGAGTGCCATGTAACACTGCACGATTTAGGGAATCAAAAGCAATAACTTTTATTTTACAAAAAGCCACTCCCGTAGCAGTCTGGACTTGCTCCTGCCAAGCTGCTAATGGAATCTGGCACTAGTATGTGTTGTTTATAGCCCAGTGGAGATAGACTCTCCTAGATGGTCTGACATACAGCAATATGGCATTTTTTATCACATTCCTGTAAACATGCTATAAGACGATTCTGATTATCTATTAAAAAGACTAGAACTTTGCTTTGAGAAGCTGCTTTTGACTAAACATATCGAAATATTACACCTGACTCTGTTTTCTGATCCCAGAGCCCAATTCAGTTCTGTAGCACTGTAGACTTCTTCTGATTGTAGGTATAACATTGCTTTCAGTTGAATGAGATTTCCAGACAAACATTATTTTTAGTAGACTAGAGGTTTATATAACATAGAATGTTCACAAGTGCAATGTGTAATCATTATAGTTAATATTAAAAAACAATCAATTTAGAGCCCAGTAAATGCTTTTCACCAAATGTAGATCTGACAAAGATTCAGTCACTGCTAATTATTGTTGAAATGAACATAGGCAGCTGGATAAATCCTAAAAAAACTCTAGGCCTCCATAATAGACTGACTTAATAAACTGCATTCAGATGGAAATGACCATGCTGAGAAAACAGGACGTTATACTGAAGGTACCTCACGTGCAAACCACGAACCAAAACACTGAGTGCAGATTATGTGATTTTTTTACCTGCTTTTTGATGGTAGCAACCATTGTGTGATTTGATCCATTTAAAAGCTTGAGTCCTCCTGATGCAGAACAGATTTGTATCCTGAAAGCCCTCCCACACTGGTAGGTTGACCTAATGCTGAAGACCAGTTACTAAAATGCACATACAGGACCGTTAGTAGTTTTCTAGTTTATCACTGGTTGGGAACACAGGCTAAACTCTGTGTTAGCTACTGCGGTTTCTTTTTTTTTCTACACACTGCCACCTTGTAGTGCATTACTTGGTACACCATTTTGCAGTCAGATTATTACTCTGACTGTTCTCTAACTTAAATCCACCCAGCGATTCTGTATCGAGTCAATCACTGGTTTGAAAGTGCTTGAGGCATTTTCTGGTTTTTCCAAAACAAGACTGGAGCAACAAGACACACCTCTGGCCGTAAACCAACACATTATCCCTTGGTGCATTTTTTGTTGTACTTGCAGAAGTTATGTGAGCGATACGCATGGAGTTCCTCTGCTCAAAATTTCTGTAAAAAAAAGAAGTTCAACTTTTTAGAGCTGGGCTGCTGAAAGTGAAACTTGCCTATCTCGATGTTTTCGCAGGAACAGGAAGAATGCTGCTCCGGGAACGTGCTGAAATGGTGTGCAGAATCCGAAGGCCTGGAGCTAGTGTCTGAGCACGAGGCTGACGAGGAGCCTGGAAAACTTCCACAGAGCCCGGGAGGTGCAGCGCAGGAAATCTTCACAGACGCTCAGATGCTGACACTGCCAGGCTCTGACAGCCACTCCACTGGAGTAAGAAATACAGTAGATGATGCATTTCTGCACACTGAGAGAAAGGGGGAATGCACTGACCTTTTTATTTTAGTGTCAAATCAGGATGACAGTAACAGTATTGTTCGACTGATATGCTCTTCTGGACTTTTTTAATGTGATTTTTTTATACCGTATTTGCATAGAATTTAAAAACATGCATACAACGTGATTTAAAGACATTTATTTAAAATATGCAACACTGTCACAGCTGGTAAACTGTAACCTGGTTTAGTTTTTTAATTGAATTTCCTCCAATGATGTCTGTGTTTATCAGCATAATTCGGTTACTGTTGGCTTAGACTTCAGTGTAAATTGATTAGTTTGTGTCTACATGCAACACATGGTAAAGAATACTACAACAGTGTCTTAATATGTTAGTTGTCAATGGTAAGTGCTGGTATTTTAACATGGTTGGTACAGCATGGTTGAGTATTCCTCTGGTGAATGCAATAGGAAATTGCTCAGGAAACAGTTATGAAGCAATGCTATTTCCTATGCTTTCAACTTGGGAGACTCATGAGCAGAAGCTTGGTTAGCATGTCCTAATCTTGCTGATATAAAATTTGTCTCAAGGTTTCTCTTCTCTGAAAGCACGTCATCTCTCTCTTTGAGAATGCTGCCCTTGCTTATTATCTCTTGCTGTGTGTAATTGCAGGCTGGGAGGCTGAAGGAAACTCTAGAAAGACTTAATACTTTATACAAAGATTTGGAGTCCCAGCTGACGGACGCTGTCCACAGGGTGCTGTACTGTAGGAACCAGCCCGCCAAGCTCCATATTGCAGCCATGACCCAATGCATGGAGGAGACTCAGGTGAGGGACACTGTCCTGTCTGCACATGTGCGTATGTACTGGTGATAGGCTGCATTTCATTACAGCTCTGCTGAGTGTGGGGTGGGACATCTCTTGTTCTAATTCCCTGCTGACTCTTCTGTTCTCTCCCGCTGGGGTGGGAAGCAACTGTTTTCTGGGGATTAAAAAGGCTCAAAATGCAAATGAAATACATGCTCTGCAATATGTTATTCATGAAATATGTACCGAAAAATTAAGAGAATCAGCGCAAATATTAGTTGCAGCCTGAATGGACTTTGGCTGACAAGAAACCAAGTTGCCTCAGAAAAAATTCCAGTTTGCAGTCCAGTGAAACGAGGGAATCTGGCGAGTCTTCACATGATCGAAGTAGGCAGCGAAGCCTGTAATGAAATGAAAGATTTGTAAATTACAGCCATTATGGAACCCCAAGGCTAAAAGCCTACATTTGATTTTATGCTCATCTGTATCTGGTGAGAATTTCTTCCGCGGAATGACTGGATATTGCTGGATATCACTGTTGATCAGTGCCGGGGTCTTCCTTTGTCCTCTGGTCTTTGAAAGTAGTGCCTCTCCCTGTTGGTACGGAGAGTCGCCATGATGAGAGAAACACTTTGTACTGGAAGAAATTCAGCTCAAAACACTTGCTTTCTGTCAGCAAGGCCAGTTTAGATGTGTATTGTGGATAAGAAGCTTCTGTGAATACAATTTGCATATTCATCCACCTGGTTAGTGTGCTCTTTATGTGTCATTAGCATATTCAATGCATGCTAGTGATTCCATCATCTTTGCATTAAGAAGTGTGTGCAGCTGTGTGCCTGTTGTGTTAGATCTTTCTTAACGTGGATTGGGATTCTGGTATTACGTGTCTAAACATGCTTGAACTTTGACTTAAATGTTCCTTATTACATAAGAACCTTTTGTGAATGAGGCTTATTTCAGTGGAATTTCACAGTACTTTGAATTAAATCTTTTATGTTTTTTTACTCTGCATGGTATAATTATGATTTTAACCAGGACTCTTTAGTCATTTGTCCTTGAAATCTGACTCTTATGCTCCAGCTCTCTTGTTGTTGTGTGTATTGCCTTCACTATGAAAAGGCCCTGCATGACACCAAAAATCCTACTTGTTGGCTGACTGCTGCCCATTTGGCTGTGCTGTAGGAGCTGCTCCAGCAGCTGGGGCGGCAGCAGACAGTTGCCCTGACTCGGCTGGATAAGGCCCTGACCGGTAACCCTGACACAGCGCACTCTGGAGTGGCGCACCTGATACGCACCCAGTGGGGGGCGATTCTGCAAGACATCTCTGCCATCACACAGGACAGAGTCTCCCAGCTCCAGCTCGTCACACAGTACCACAGGACAGCAGAGACCAGCAGAGCAGAGCTGGATAAACTACGTGCAGAAATGCAGGCACTTCAAAGGTATTTGTTTAATTTTCTTTCATCCAGGCTCTGCACATTTCTCTGCAGGCTACACGCAACCTTCTTGGGTTCTGCATTCTGATTTGTTAGTTTGATTAAACCATCTGTTTAGATCAAGGTCAAACTGTTGCAAAGGCAGAGCCATTGCTTTTAAACCATTAAGTTCTAAATGAACTTTTCATTTGGTTAGTGCTTTTGGACTGAGGTCCACTTTCTCTGGGTACTCCGGTGTCCTCCCATCTTCCAAGGAAGGCTTGCCAGGTTAACAGATGTCTCTAAAAAGTGCCTGTTGGCCTTGTTTGTCGTACCAAGGACTGGCATCCATCTCAGGTTGTTTGCATCCATCTCATGGCTGTGATTCAAAATGCTCTGAGTTGCCACCGTCTTTACCGGGAATAAGCAGCTTACACATGCATACAGATTGTGTTCAGATGGTTAAGCGGGGGAGCATGTTCGAGGCCTCTCAGTATGCTTTTCTTCACATGCACTTCAAGCAATAGTTTGAAGAAATCTGAGATGTATATTCCTTTTTTGTTATCTTTTTCATTTTGCTCCTTTTTAAAATCTCATTTTTTTACTTTGTGGCAGTTGCTCCAAGGAAAGCAGCTCTCATCGTACAGAGAGGCTCAAGGCCCTTCTATTGGACATTGAGCAGGAGAAAGCCGTGATGAAAGAGCTCCTGGAGGTGCAGGCAAAGATATCGCCCCTCCTGAATGAGATTGACAAGAACAGGATGCAGATGCAGCTGGGAGACATGCGTGTGGAGTGCGATCGGGTGGACTGTGCTGCACAGAAGATCCTTTATCGGGTTTCTCTGGAGGCTGAGGAAAGCAAACGCCTCCTGCTGGAGACACAGGGACTCCAGACTGTGCTGGGAAACCTGCACCGTTCTCTCAACTTTCTCAGATCCTCCCCATCACAGAGGGAAGGAGAGAAAGCAAAACGGCTGATGATGCTGAGTGCGGATGTAATAGCTGCTCAGCAGAAGTTCAGTCTTCTGCAGCAGCATGCTGAAGCTTTGACCCAGAGCATGCTGGGACAGAGGGAGATGGAGGAGATAACCCAGGCCATCCAGATCCTGCAAGCTAAACTGGGCCTTGTGCAGGATCAGATTTCTGCACAAACCATCAGCACCGCCACTATGTTTGGCAAAATCATGAAAATAGTGCAGGATGCATTCACGTGGGCAAAGAGAACAGAGGGCGGCTTCATGATGAGCAACAAAATTGCTCTCAACCCAGAAGATGTCAAAGCCAGGATTGATGACATGAAGAAGGTGCAGTCTGAGATTGCGGCCAAGCAGTTCAAACTGCAGTCCTTCACTTCGGAGGTGAGAAGGATGATCCCGCAGCTTGATGAGAAGGATGTGCCAAAAGTTCTGTCCTTGCTGAAAACTTTGGAGCAGCTGTATGAGTCTACTGCCGAAAAGTCGCTCCAAGCTCTGCAAAATTTGGAGTCTGGCTTGCAGATGAGAGCGAGGATGTTTGAGCAAATTGCTGACATTAATGCCTGGATTATTGCACACAGCGAAAAAGAGTGCATCAAGGAAGCTGACAGTAAAAGCTGCACTTCAGAGCTTGAACTACAGCTTCGAAGGCGAGAAGATGTGTTACTGGAATCTGACAAACATGCTGCACTTGTTGGGGCTCTTTGTATGAAGAGCAGAGACATTTCTTCAGAACTTAGTGTTTTAGAGAACTGTTACCTGAATGACAGACTAATGTCCCTTCAAGAGGATATCAAGGGAATTACTGGCTATGAAAAAACAAAATGTCAAGAACTGATTGAATTGCTAAATGAACATAAAATCTCCCTGGAGAAGATGACCTCAATAGAGCAGGATGTAAAAGAGGCATTGCTGGACTTGGATAAATGTAGTTTTCCCTTAAGTAAGGAAACCATTTGTACAACGGGGACATTTAAATATAAGATTGTAGACCTCAAGTTCCAAGTTGAACAACTCTGTCACTGTGAGAAGCAAAAACAGAGAGAACTGTTCAATTTAATTACTGAGTTGGAGAATAAAATAACAATGTTGGAAGAGAAGGCTCAGTGCTATGAAAAGTATTTAAGTTATTGGCAGCATATTAAGAACCTTAGTGGAACCATAGAAAAACACATTCTTGAAACAAACAAAGAAGACATTAATAAAGCTGACAGACATAAAAGATGCCAGGATCTCCTCGAACAATTTCCTGGACTGAAGAGGTTATGTTCTGAGGCTGCTGATGTTTTAAGCAAGGTCTCATCAGACTTAGACCCATCTCAGTTGAGATCTGAGCAGCAGAAACTCCTACAAGCGACAGTGGACTTTAACGCATGGGCCCAGGTTGTAATGAAGCAGTCAGAGAACCTTGAAAGGAAGATTATAGAGGGACTTGATTTCCAGGCAGAATATGAGCGTACCTTTGACTTCTTAAAAGACGCAAACGTTGAACTGCACCGAGCAACTTGCTTGGGCTTAGATGATCAAGCAATAGTGAATGAGATTCAGAGATGCCTTGTTCTTCAAAGGGATGTGGAGACTAGAATGAGGATACTTTGGGCTGTAAAATGCAGAGACTGTGCTGAACCTGGGAAGAAACCTGTTGCCATGGTGAAGGAGTTGGATGACCTACAAAACCTAGCCAAGCAGATACAGAATGACTGTGCTTTGAGAATGGTAGGTTTGTCAGTTTTGTATGGTAAAGATCACACAGATGAGTAATCAACAAACGTTAAATTATAAATATAAAAGAGTATACTACTATAGTATCCATTTTGAATGCAACACAGTATTTAACAGTAATGCACTGCAATATGCTATCCATTGTCTGAGCATGACAGTGCAAGAGAATTGGGTGTTACTTGCAATACAGGGTAGAGCCTTCTCCCCTTTCTTTTCACCTTTTTGCTTTGTCTAGCAGAAAATCTGTTCTTAAAAAAAATTATCTTCAGTAGCCTGTGTCCTCAATTCTCTGAATCAAAGGATTCATACAACAGTTGTCAAAATACATGGCGCTGAGTCTTAAAATCAGTATGTTTCATGGTTGCAGGAGGGATTGTCTCAGGCACGGGAGGTGGTGAGGGTGTACTTTGAAGCGATCCAAGGCACTGCAAACTTTCTGTCAGAAGAAGAGGCCAAGCTACAACATGTGCCAGGTCACGTCGAGGGCTGCGAATACAGTTTGCAGCAGATCCAGGAAGCCCTGTCCAACATCACTGCAGAGTTCGAGTCCAGAATTGCCCACATCCAGCTTCTGTTCCCTAAGATGGATTGCCTGTCCCTCCCTGAGTGCCTGAAGCTCCATGCCCAGCTCCTGAGTGAGCTGCTCGTCCGTGTCTCCACCGTCAAGAGCAAAGCCCAGCTCAGACTGGAGGCTCTGCACAGGTGCTGAATAGTTTCCTCTCCTGAACTGTTTTTCCTCCGCTCCAGCTCTATGTTTTAGGTCAGACGTGCTTCACGGGCACACTGCTATTTCAGTGTTCTCTAGAAGTGCAGACAGTAGATGAAGTCTTGATGAGACATGAAGTTAAAATGGCTTTGGTGTGACAAGACCCAATGTTAAAATAGTTATGCTCCTTGTACAGTATTATACAAACTAAGGGTACTGAGTTTCATTTGAGGAAATCTCACCTTGAATTTCTTAGGGGAATATAGTGTACAGGATTACATTGTGCTACTTCTGGGAGATAGAAAATGATTTTGTCCCTCTCCTTGCTCTTTCCTATTTAAAGTGAGAGAGTTTAATATTCATGTACAGCTGGTATGATTTATTTTTTGCACATCTACCTGTGTGCATGTTTTTCTGTCTGAGTGTTTTGTTTTTCATGATTACAGGATTTCAATTCCCTGAAAACTTTGAATTAATAATTGAAAGAATTTTGGACATTAATACACTTATTTTAAATGCTCTTTAAATGTTTTAAATGCACTTATTAAGCTGCATTCAGCTACTTTCTCTTTCCTTCTTTCCCTGAGTATTTTCTCTTCTGTCTGTGCTCTCTCTGTCCTGTGTCAGACTGCCTTTGCAGGAAGAAATGAACAGAAGTTAACAGAGAAACTGACAGTATCAGTCTTCCCTGATGTTCTTTCTTTTCTCCAGATGTGTGGAGAAGTATGAAATCTACAAACACTGCTATGAGGAGGTCTCTAATTGCCTGGACAGCTCTGGGAGGAAACTTGCAGCGTGCTTTTCCAAGAAAGTAGCATCTTACAAGGAGTATTTAGATCAACAAGAAAACCTTATGGTTTGTTGGAAGATTTTTTCTGCGCCTTAAGATCAGTTAGGTTCCAGTTTTGAAAGGCTGTATCTGACAGAACTCATTAGAAGCAATTTAGTTCAATCTCGATATGATTATAGCCAATGGTGGTATATGAATGTGTATATATAAGACACTGTTCATATTAAACATCAAGCCATGAGACGAGCATGAGGTGGAATCAGAGGTGCTGGATTTTGAAGTGGACATCTGCGAAAACCATGTGTCACAGGCTAGCCGGCAGAGAAAGTAGGTTAGGCACAGCACTGAGCCTAGCAAGAAGAATAGTTACCATCCTCCTATACAATACCCTTGATCCCAGTCCTTTAGTCTGCCGCTCAGCCCATAGTTTATTGAAACAAAAAGCATACATGGCCCTCCATAGACACATCATAACGATCACCACACACCACAATGTGCGTGTATTTAATGATTCAGACGCATAATGTTGTGTTTTTTACAACCATTATTAAGAAGCAGGCTGCCTGTAAAAGACTTTAAACCCGATGTTGTGCCCCCAGCTGCTTGTCCCGGGAATCGATGGCGCGGGGGAGAAGCTGGCGCAGCTGCAGGAGGCGGCTGTGGAGCTGCAGGGCGCCGGGGGGGACAGCAGGGAGGTGGCGCTGGCGGTGTCCTCTCGGTGGCAGGACTGGCTCCGCATGCAGCGCTGTGCCCGCGAGCTGGGGCAGCGCACTGGGCAGCGCGCGGAGGACTGGAGGGCCGTCTCGGAAAGCGTGAGTCCTGAAGCATTCCGTAAAAACCTATTACAGCCGATCAACACAAAGCATCGTCACCAGGAGAAGGTACACCTGCTGCGTGCAAGACGGGATTTGTGAAATAGAATCGCTGTTCATCTTCTACCTGTCAGCTGGTCACTAGGGCATCTGTTGCTGTCTAATTCTGGTCAACGGTGTCACGGCTGGTAACACTGTTCTAGAAGACACCGATATGCAAGAACGCTCTCTTGGTTCAAATGTCTATGACGGCAAGAGATAAAAATGAATTCCGAAGTTACAAATACACAGCAGCATTCACTTTTGTTTTTTTTTTCCATCCACCCATGGTTCATCTTATCAGACAGAAAGACAGTGTTTTAGAAAACATCAGAAATATGACCTCGGCACAGCTGATATTTCAAGGCCTCCCAGAAGCGAACCATGGATCGCTTTTCTTTTAGAAAAGAAGACATCGTTATGTTTTTGTGGCAAACAAGACATCACTGACTCACAAATTCTTTTTCTCCATTATTGCCTAATAAAATCCTTTATTCATGCATTCACGCCCCCTTGGGGTTGAATAAAGTATTTTAAATTGAATTAAATAAACTGCTTTCCTGGTGCAGAACACGCATGGACAGTTGTGTTTAGTATCAGCCATTTTCGCTTTGTGTTGGTAGTCTTGTGCTAGTAATCAGTGCAAGACTTACAGCCACATGCCTCAGACATATTGTAACCTGATCTACGACCTTTCTAGGCTATATATTTCTAAACATTAATAAAAACAAAGTTGAGATTAATATGGAAATTTGACTTATCTCCCAGCTTTTAGATGGCAGAACCTTTTTAATACAAATCCCGGGCCGGGAGAATTCAGAACAAAAGACGGCTAAGAACTAAGCCGTGCAAAAGGACAGACAATCCCACATTCTAGACTTTAAATGGACTAAGGTGTAAATGTGTCCCCAGGTTGAGAGAGCCACTGTCATTCTGGACAATCTCCAGGATGAGCTTCCAGAATTCTCCCCAGAAAAGGCCACCGCAGAGGAGCTGCAGGAGCTGCTGGAATCCACAGAGCAGTACAAGGGGCACCTGGTCCGCGAGCAGGCAGCTCTGTCTGCATTGGTGCTCAAGGTCAGGACTCTCCTCGGCGTCAGTCCCAGCGGAGACGGGGCCCAGTCCACGCCGCTGTTCCAGCAGCTGCTGGCCATGCAGGACCGCTACACCAAGTAAGAGGGGCGTGGTGTGGTGTCCAGATTTCCCAACCCCAAGTGTTCAGATTGTACAATTGTACGGAGCAGAAAGCCATGAGGAGATTAGACTTGAGTGGCTTTCTGCAGTGGCCTCAGCTCTCTGCTGTGGTTCTCTGAGGCTGACCTCCGTACTCACTGAACGGGTGTCAGGAGGGTGCGCTTTCAAGATGCAGAAATCAGGGTCTGGTGGCAATACTGTAGCAACAGTGTGTGATTTCAAATCCAAATTGACTACACGTGTTCAAAATTCTCAAAGGCACAAATTTAACCCAGCGCACATGTTCAGAAACAGCAGTGAAACAGGAACCACAGGATAAGTGGAAATTATAACCAAATGCATTTAAAATTCAGGACAGAAGGCACTTTTTGGCAGAAAGGGTGGTGGGAGTCTGGCACAGCCTACCCAGACTGTTACCCTGCCCAAGCTCTTGCCCTGAATCCTTTCATGACACGGCAGGATGACATACCTTAATGATACCTGATCATTCTTCTTGTGACCAAAGAAGTGAAAAACAATCACGGTCCTTTGTAGACTAAGGGAAATTAAAATGTAATTTTAAAATAGATATCCATTTATCCATCCTTTTTCATCATTTTTTATCCTGCTTTTCCTTTTGAGAGCCACCATGAGGGTTTCATGAGCCGTTATTTTATTTCAGTCTGTGACTTGTTGAAATCGGCTTGCCTGCCTTGTAATCTCTGTCCCGCCACGCGGACACAGAGTGCTGTGGGCTCATAGGGGATTCGGCGGATAGTACTATGCAGATGCCTGTAGGTGAGCACACCTCTGAAGCACCTGCACAAAGCATGAGAAGAAAGAAATGTTGTTTTCATTTCAACCGTTACAGCATTGTGCAAATCTGCTTTAACCTGAATGTGAATGAAAAATATTCTTCAGTAAAATATTGTGAGTAACAGTTTTACGTTGGCAAGGACGTGCAGTACTTTTGGGCAGTACTCGCCGTGCTTGCCTGCTGTTCTCAGGCCTGCAGACTGGGTCTTCATGGCTCTGGGAGCTCAGGAGACGGAGCGAAATGAAAACTGTGTTCACTCATGGTAGATGAATAATCCAGCACCCCCCAGAGCGCCTGCTGATGAGCTCACTGGCAGTCGTGGGTAGGGTGGGTACTTCTACCCAGCCCCTAGGCTTCAGTGTCCGCATTCCTGAGGGACACACACAGGCGGTGCTGGCCAGCTCTGATCTGGGCACCGCCAGCCCAGGAATACAATCCCAGGCCTTTCCTCCTTTGGAATGTACTTTTTTTTCTCTCCTTCTCCTCGTCTGGGCGCCTTCGCCAGCGTGTGTGTGTGACTTTTCCGTACGGGAGCTTTCAGCGGAAGGAGGTGGCGTGGATGTGCAGCTCAAACTCAAGCCGTTCGGGCTCCTCAGCCTGAGGTCCCGATCCGCCTCACGACCGGTCTGTACGCTCGTGTCCCCTGTCTGCAGCTTGAGACGGAAGGCAGGGTCTGCCGGGCGTGCCGGGTCCGCAGAGATGCGGGAGCGCGAACAGGTGAAGGAGGAAATCCAGGGAGTAAAGGAGTGGCTGGTCACAGCGGTCTCCCTGCTGGCTGTGCTGGAGCATTCCCCGAGCAAAGAGGAGCTGCAGGTAAGGGTGGGGAAACAATTGCAAGTCATGTAACATAGGTCCGAGAGTGGAGCCGTGCGAGAAGCTGAATGGAAAAATGAATCACGTGCTCGAAGGGAGAAGGAATGAAAAAAAACTTTGTACTTTGGCTGTGGAACCTTCTTCAGCCACGTGGGTCTTGAGACATTGTACTCTTTTCTTTTATTATAGTTTTCTGCTTTGTGGTCAGCCCTTAGTTGTTCATACAATATATACGGTATATGATAGCTCAGATCTGGGGATCACTGAAGAATATGCCCGTTATTAGCAGAAAAATTCAGGACGTGTGTTCAGATGCTTCCCAGTGATCAGGCTTAGCTGTGTAAAAAGCAATTAAAAATTGCGGTGCTCAAAATGGACCGTTGTTGCTATCAGGGCCAGAACTGGTGCCTGTTCTGTAGATCATTTTCTTGTTTCACATGGGAATCTAGGGGGAATGACAGGAAACCAGATTCCTTGTGTTGAAGGCAGCAGACACCTGCGTCTAAGCTGAAATCAAGGTTTTCTTCTGCTAGGACAGCATTTTTAGCACATATACCTCATACAAACTCATTTGACCTTCTCATAGTTTTCAAAGTTTACTAAGTTCTTATTGGGAAGTATTTTATACAAGGAAATTGTATTTAATTTAATAAAATACATTGTTTAAGAGCAACAAAAAGAATAACTTCAATTTGTTTATGCCAATTAAAATGCATCCTTAGTTCTTGCACAGCGATGCATACATAATGCCATTTTAATGAGCACTGAACTTTCTCTGCTTTCTCTTGATCACAATGGAGCAGTTGTTCTGAATAAAACCAAAAAAAAGCAATATAATTTGCCAGAGTTTGAATAAAGCTGGCCTATGACATGTTTGTATTTTTGTATAATAATTGTCATATAAAACTTAGATCATCTTAGGACCTTTGGAGGGGTGTAGAGTACTGTTTCTATATTGCACTTATTTCTTTGTAAAGATGGTGGTTAAATTAAACGAGTCAGCTGCAAGCACGCTGAACAACGTGTGCATTATTTGAACTGGAGAGCCATGGCTTTTAGTCAAACTTCCCCTCAGTAAATTGTCAGCCTATATTGTTCTGTGCTTCTCAAGTGGGATGTGAGGAGCAGTGTTATTGTACTCAAGCGTCTCAGTTGCATCCAAAAGTTTTGATAGGCCTTTTGTCTCATGCAACCTACATTCTTTCCCTCCGAAGCACAGCACTCAGAGTGAAAGGACCTGAGCTCTGCTCTTCTGTATAATACCTTGTAAGTGGATACTCAGTGTCCCAGGTTACAGCTGTGGCCCCCGTTGTGACAGTTCATGCAAAAGCCGATAGAGGTCCCGTGCATTTACCATCTCTAGCTGAGCCGCTACCTCCCAGTGCTCATTTCTCTCCTGATTCACCCAGAGAGGCGACAGAATCTCTAACACTTGTTTTTTTTATCACTGGGATTTTATTGGAATTAGGTTTAACAACCTCGATTTATTCATACGTGTATATTAGTGCTCTTTAACCCGGTGCTTTCAACCGAGAGGCGAAAGTAATTTGGAGCTTTGCAGCTACAGGGAAAGAGAGCGAATTATGTGATTTTATCAACCTGAGGTTTTAATTTGTTACCGGGCTAGACAGGACAAACATGCATTGACAGAAAGATAGGATTTATTTGTGATTTGCCCTGCCGAAGTTTCAGCAATAATGCTGTTCTGTGAGTATTCCTGCTGGGTGTTCTTTACTGTTGTAGAAGGCTTGTGCAGAGCAGACAGTGTAGGGGGCTAATCTGGAGACAACGGTCAAGGGGGTCAGGGGTCTACGGCTTAGGGCTAATGTCCTTTTGCTGTTGTCACTTTATAGGAGGTCCAGATAGAGCTGGGTTCCCAGAAGGCTGTGCTGGAAGGCATCATGGACAAGCTGAGGATGAAGTACTCTGATATGTACACACTTGTCCCCATGGACATAGAGGCTCAGCTCCAGGAGGTCAGCCGCGGCCTGCAGGAAGTGGAAGAGAAGGTAAAGGTCACCGCTTACATATGATGCATGTCGGAGCAGCACAGCACATGACAATGCAGTATACATCTACCATCAAAAAGCCAAGTACCCCAGGTAAAAGTCACAAAGACAAGGAGTAACCCAGAACACAGGACACAAGGCAGGGCGACACCCTGAACAGGACTGCACTCGATCTCAGGACACCTACACAGGAACAAGAGCTGTGAAGCTGCAACACTAAATGCCACGCCTCCATGCTGACCATGCCACATACAATCCTATATTATGCCATAAAGTACAATGTGATCTTCTGTTCATACTTATTGCACGCAGTGCCTTTTGTCGAGGTCCTTATGCACTTAATAGGGAAATAAAGTGGACGGTGTTGAAAATCAAAAAACATTATCATAGACTACAATGTTCAATCTTGATCGAGAAACATAGAGACAAAGCGATCATTACTGAATGAATGATTTTGATCATTTTATGGTAAAATCAATACTTTCTACCTTTTAAAATCAGAAGGCTAGAAATGTACAACAAACTCCTGAGGTGGTGCAGTTGCATAATATGAGAAGACTCAGAACTGCAGATCTCCTGAATACGAGAGAGGATTATCTGAGTGCCTTCTTCTACCTTTAATGGCTTAGTACTTTTCTAAGTACAGACCTCCCTCTACCACCCTTTATCACTGACACAGCAGTGGTGGGGGGTACTCTTGGTTGTTAGGTGCTTTTGTAAGAGCGTGCCAGGCAGTGGATTGTCAAAAGCTATTGTTAGTTGAGTTGCCATGGCAATGTCAGAAGCCAGGTTTCACACGCTGTTCCTGTGAGGTTACTGATTTCAGAATATAGCACAAGTTCCTCGTGTCTTGTTAAATTTTTATGAAAACTTTCAAGTGTGTCCTCAGGCTGCAAAATAGAAACCATAATCCTTTTCTCAGCTGTGGCGTTCATTTTTATTAGTATCCCTTAGCCTGACTTTCAGTTCCGATTCACACGTTAGCCAGATTTATTGGATTTTAGGTCCTCGATATGGAGTAGCTGATAAAGGTGTACCGCGCACTGCTGTATTGTAGGTAGAGGATGCTGTGGAGAAGAGCAGTCCATTCTATGCAATGGGTGCTAAAATCTGTGACATCACCGCCGGCCTGGCCAATGTGCAGACAGTTCTGCAGCAGAGGAGCAAATCTGTCATGGAGGCCAAGGGCATCCAAAAGGTAACTAGAGTATCACTGAAATAAACAGTTGTCTGTGTTTTACAAAAAACAAAACAATAGTTCATATAATATTAAAGACAAAATTAAAAGTGTTTATTTAAATATCTATGATCTCCCATTGGTCTTGTACATTATTAATATGGTACCATCCAACTGAAAAACTGTCCCTGTGTCTGTGTTCCTGTTCATGTCTCTGTGTGTTT